GGTTATTTAAATATAAATTCCTCTGGTAAAGGTGATTAATGCTGTACAAAAAGATTTTATTAGTGGTGGTATTTCCCTAGAGTTCTTGAATCTAAATATATAGAGTAAGGACTTAAACACATTTAAAAAAAACTATCTTCTTTATGAAAATACATTTACCTTAAAAACATTTTTTTATTATCTTCCTCATGAAAAAATATTTTCAGCAGAAAGTTCATCACATTTTACACATTTACTTCTAGATATGGCAGACATTTTCTACTGTAAAATATAAATGCTTCTTCCTGGAAAAATGTATTATAGGCATATAAGAGCTTCAAGATTGTAGTTTTGCCACCTAAAAAAGTAGTATTTCTTTTGCAGAATAGTTTTGTGAATGGCATCTTAGTTACAGATGACAGTATTTAAAATGATTCTTAGAAATGTTTTGCTCCCGTAATATAGCCATGGAGATTTGTTTGCAGTTAACACGCCCTTCTCTAATGGGTGTCTTTCTTAAATATATTTTGCTTATGCAAAGTAGATTTTAAAAAACTTACTGCTGATTGGTTTGCACGGATATGGCTGAACTAGTTTGAACTGGTTGTTCATGCTACTTCCTTATTGCTTTGTCTGTTTTTCATTATACTTAGAACCCATAAAAGATCTAGTAAATGGCTGTAGTATGCTCCCTTGTGGGTATAGATGGTAGTTATTCTGTAATTCTTTGTACAGTACTTTTATTATTTCTGAATTGAATGGCAGTTTTGCTGATCAAACTAGCTTGCTTGGGTTGCATTTATTTTTATTGTGTTATTTGGTGGTGGCAATTTATTAAATGTTATTTGGTGGTGATGTTTGCATGTTGAGTTTTCTAGCATACAAAATATTTAAGAGAACTTTGTCTCAGATTATCTACATTATGCCTTAAAACATTCTGAATATGCATAGACAATTATAACATTTTTTGAGTGCTTACAATATTCTAAGTGCTTAAAATATACAGCTTCATTTAATCACCACCACAACCTCTGTTGCAGGTACTTATATTCTCCTTTTAAGGTAGCTGAAACAAAAAACTGAAATGTTAGGTAACTTACCCTGTGTCACATAAACACATGGGAGAGCTGGAGTTCAAATCCATGTTTCTGTCTGTAGAATTCATGTTCTTAATGGGGTTACTAAAAATTACGAAAATATACTTTTTAATTTTATTTTCCCATTGATTTTTAGAGAGAGTGAAAGTGAAGTGGGGGGAGAGATAGAGAGAAACATTGATGTGAGAGAGACACATCCACTGGTTGCTTCCCACACATGCCTGACCAGAGCCAGGGATTGAACCTATAACCTAGGTATGTGCCCTTGACTGGGAATCAAGCCAACAACCCTCCGGTGTGCAGGCCCATGCTCCAGCTGCTGAGCCATACCGGCCTGGGCAAAAATATACTTTTTTAGAGGACGGCTTGCCTTTTTTTTTTCTTTCTTGATTTTTAGAAGGAGAGGGAGAAAGAGAAAGAAACATTGATGAGAGAGAACATTGATTGGCCGCCTTCTGCATGCCCCTCACTGGGGATTTGGCCCACAACCTGAGCATGTGCCCTGACCAGGAATCGAACTGATGCATCTTGATGCATGGGTTGATGCTCAAACACTGAGCCACATTGGCTGGGCTAGGACTGTTTGCTTTTAATGCTACTGGTAATGACTGCCAACTATTCATGTAACAGCTGAGAAATGTGGATTTTATGAAGTCAAAGTCCAAAAGAATTGTAGTTTAGTATTTGAAAATATTCACAGGGTAACCATACTCCTTCTGTTGTAAATGTGATTATTTTGTATCTTTGGAGTCAGCAGAAAAAAGTGACTACAGAATTTACATTGTATCTTTGCAGAAAATTTTTCAGTTAGCATGAGTTTGGAGTGGATAGTGGGGTGGGAAAAAACTACATTTTAGGCTATAATTAATCTTAAAATAGTGCCTATAATAATATTGCATTGATGTTTCTGCTCACTTGTAAGATACTTTTTCTAAATAATTTTACTCAGTTCTATAAGTTAAAAGCCTAGGAAGACTAAGAAAAATGTAAGTAATTTTCTTAACATGACATAACAAATGCAGAATGTGCCACAATCTAGAAGTACTGCGGCAAACTGGTAGGTTCTCAAGCTGTACTGGTCTTTAGCAAATAGGCTAGGCCATTGTTTTATGCCTTGCAACCAAAGGAAGGAACAATGGAACACCAGAAACATAACTGTAATTGAACAAGTTGGGTTTATTTTTTGTTGTAGTGAGGGAGAATGCTCACCATAGGGAAACTGAGGCACATTAGTAAGAGAGTGTTAGAAAACCTAGAGTTGGATTTGGTTATAGGTTAGGTTATTTTGGGGAGGGTTTCAGGAAATAGAACCTCAGTCTGGAATGGGTGCTGTCAGAAAGTGGGAGCTAGTCTATGCTTGGGTATCTCAGTAAATCTTATCTATAGTGAGGACAGACTACAGTGAGGATAAAGCTGCAATTGATAAAGAAGTAGCCATCACTCATTTGTTTTTTTGTTTTTTGTTTTTGATTGTTGAAAGTATTAGAGATGTCCCCCTTTTGCCCCTTTGACTCCCTCCTTCCTGCTCCCACACGCCATCACTCATTTTAGTCAGAGAGGGGGGTGTTTGATATTTTATGGGTTGCACTGTGACCTTACCTAATTTTAATGGTAGTGATGGTTTTATGTCCAACAGAACAAAATGACTTAGCCCTAATCATTAAGTCAGTTTATAATAACATTAAGGCCTGCCTGTGGGCCTCAAATAAGTTCCAGTACCTCAGCTTTTTTTAATTTATTTTTTTCTTTTCCAGCCAAAGGAAGTGTATCCTGCTATCATTCATACTAAGTAGAAGAGTGTGAAAGCAGTATTCATGCTCCCTGTACATTTTAGTCCTTAAAGGACTCTAGTTTTATTTCACTATAGACTGGTGACATTGTCCTTTTCTAGTTCCAAATCCTTGTCCTCTTTTGCTTGCCTTACTACACTGACCAGAAATGGTAAGAGAGAGAGCATCCTTGTCTTGGTTCTTATCTTATTTCACAATTCAGTATGATATCTGTAGTTTTCTTTGTAGATATCCTTTATTATATTTGAGTTGTTTCCTTCTATTAAGTTTTCTGAGCATTTTAATTATTAGTCTATGTTGATTTTTTTCAAATGAATGAATATTCTGTATCTGTTGAGATCTTTTATTTCACTATCTATTCTGTTTATGATGAATCACATAGCTTTTTCCCCTTAAATAACAGAAATTTAGTGTCTCACAGTTTTGGAGGCTAGAAGTTTGAAATTAAGGCTTTGGTAGGGCTGTGCTCCCTCTGAAGGAGCTAAGGAAGGATCTGTTCCATACCTTTCTCCTAGCTGTGGCCTGTGGCAGCATAACTCCAGTCTTCACGTGCTGTTCTTCCTATGTTTGTGTCTCTGTACAAAACTTCCCCTTTTTATAAGGACACCCATCATAGTGGATTAGGACCCGTGCTAATGACATTATTTTAAATTGATTATCTCTGCAAAGACCCTAGCCAAATAAGGTCACATTTGGGACCTAAGGGCTCCAATTTTTATCAAGTGGATACCTTGGTTGGGCCTGGGGGCGGAGAAGCTATAATGCTTTATGATTCATTTGTAATCTATAGTGCTTGCTTTTTGAATATGAGACCATCCTTATATTTTTTTAATGAGCCATAATGTGTTAGTTTTTAAAGAAATGTACTTTTTTTTTTTTTAAATAAATTTTCTTCTTTATTGATTTTAGAGAGGAAGGGAGAGGGAGAGAGAAACATTGATGAGAGAGAACATTGATTGGCTGCCTCCTGCATGCCTCCCACTGGGGATTTGGTCCACAACCTGGGCATGTGCCCTGACTGGGAATCAACCTGGCGACCTCTTAGAGCATGGTCGTTGCTCAGCCACTGAACCACAGCAGCCGGGCAAGAAACATATTTCTAAATAACTCACCAAGGAAAGAAATCATAATAGAAATTAAAATATATTTCAACAGAACCACAATGAAGAGATTACACATTAAAATGTGACATGCAGCTAAAGCAGTGCTTAGGGGGAAATGTATAGCTTTGCATACATACCTTACCAAAAAAAAAAGAAAAAGATCGAAAACAAATGATGAATGTTTCACCTGTTTATTGTTTATTCTTTTTTTCTTAATTAATTTTTGTTACAGATGTTTCTCCTTTTCCCCCCACTGATTCCTCCCTTCCCCTCCCTCCCTGCCCTTTTATTGTTTATGCTTTATTGGCTATTTGTACATCTTTTAGAGAACTGTCAATTCAAGTCCTTCGCCTATTTTTAAATTGTGTTTGTGTATGTGTTTTTCTTTTTTTGATTGTTGTTATTGAGCTGTAAGAGCATTTTATATTTTCTAGATGCAAGTTATCTCATCAGATACATTATTTGCAAATATATGATTTGCAGATAATTCCCTCTATTGTGTGAATTGTCTTTTCACTTTCTTGATGGCAATCTCTTATTAATATATTTTCAGTTCTGTTCATTTAGATATACTTGGTTACAAATAAAATCTTTCCATATGTGTTTCTTAATTTTTTCCTTCTTTCTTCCTATCTTTCTCTTTCCCATTCCACTACTGTTTTCATTCTCTTATACTGTTATTTTTCTTTCTCCATCTGTTTTTTATTTCCATCCACTTTCTTAAGCTTTTATATTACCACCAGGCTTTCTGAACCCATTAGCTTACTGAGAATGAAAATTAGAAACTAGTCAACTTTTTCCTAATGCTTCCAGTAATTGATCTTCTGTGGACTATATCTGTTATCAGTGTTACATTACATAAGTCTAATAAATATGAAAATTAATATATAAGAAGGATTATTATGCTTTCTATAGATCGTTTCAAAATACATGGAGTGCTGCTTGCTTATAAGATCAGTTTGCAATAAGTCTATAATTAGGTGGTATCTGTTTTGATTATTAAACACACTCTCTCTCTCTCTTTTTTTAAGATTCAAAATGGATAGTATAGAAGAACCTCAGAAAAAAGTCTTTAAGGCCCGAAAAACAATGAGAGTGAGTGATCGTCAACAACTGGAAGCAGTGTACAAGGTCAAAGAAGAACTGTTGAAAACAGATGTCAAGCTCTTAAACGGCAGTCATGAAAATGGAGATTTGGACTCAACTTTACCTTTGGAAAATATGGATTATATTAATGACAAGGATGAGGTGAATGGCATTGAAGAACTTTGTTTTAATCCTGAAAAAAGTAAATCAGAATGGAAAGAAACACCTTGTACCTTAAATGTTAATGTAAAAAACAAGCCAGATGATAATTTAAAGTATGAACCTTTGTCTCCCAGTAATATAACTCCTGAACCAACCTCTAAAGTGACCACTGAACTAGCTTCTGGTGATCAACCTTCAGGTGATCTGGCTATTGGAGATACGCTGGTCTCTGGAGATCTGGCCTCTGAACTATTAACCCCTGGTGATTCCACCTCTGGTGATTTCACCTCTGGTGATCTTGCATCTGGTAATCCCACCTCTGGTGATCGGGTCTCTTGTGATCCAGTATCTTGTGAGCCGGTTTCTGGTGAGCCAGTTTCTGGTGAGCCAGTCTCTGGTGAGCTGATGTCAGGTGAACCTGTCTCTGATGAACTGATCTCCAGTGAACCAGTCCCTGGTGAACTGGTCTCCAGTGAACCAGTCACCAGTGATCCAGCCTCTGATAATCTGGCCTCTGATGATCTGGCCTCTGGAATACTGGCCTCTGATGATCCAGCCTCTGATGATCTGGCTTCTGGTCAGCCAGCCTGTGGTGATCTTACCTCTGGTGATCCGGTCTCTGGTGATCCGGCCTCTGGTGATCTGGTCTCTGATGAACTGACTGCTGATAAACCAACTTCTGAATTAGCCTTTGATCCTACCTTTGAACCAAGCTCTGTACCAGTTTGTGAGCCAGTTCCTGACACTGATAATACAGAACCTAGTAGCAATAAAGGTGATGATTTTCTTGAGAAAAATGGAGATGATGAAAAGTTAGATGAAATTTTCTCATTTGATGAGAAAAATAAAGCAGATAGTAATATTGATGCTGATGAAGAAACTCTAGAAGCACAGGATACAATTATTTGTTCGGCTCTACCTCCTGAAAATGAAAAGAAGGTAGAGGAAGATTCTGTCCCAGAACCTGCTCTTGGAGAGGAGGCTATATCTAGCAGTATGGAAATTGACCAAAGTGAAAAGAATGAAGATGAGAATTCTACAGACCTTGCAGAAACCATTAGTGAAAATGTTATAAAAGATGACAAAAATGAGGATATCTTAGAAAATACAGATTCTATGGAGACAGATGAAATTATTCCTATTTTGGAAAAGCTTGCACCTGCTGAAGATGAACTTACTTGCTTTTCTAAAACTTGTCTCCTTCCAATTGATGAAACAAATCCAGATTTGGAAGAGAAGATGGAAGGTTCTTTTGGTTCACCATCTAAACAAGAAAGTAGTGAGAGTTTACCAAAAGAAGCCTTTTTGGTCCTCTCTGATGAGGAGGATATTTCAGGTGAAAAAGATGAGCCACAAGTTGTATCACAAAATGAGACATGCTCTCCAGGTTAGCATATTATTTAAATTTAAAATTTTTTGATTCGCTTTAATAAAACACTCAAATTTATAAATTCTTTTAGTTGCAGAGAAAGTTGGGAATGATGGTGGCTTGAATGATATCTTAACTTGATTCTTAACTTCACAGAATTCAGAATTACAAAGTATCCACTCTGTGAGTGGCATTGTGTGAAGCGCTAAGAAGATACATAAAGTAAGAAGAAAAAATGGCCCTTGACCTTAAGGTATTTATGTCTAGGAAGAGAGATAAGATGGACCAACATAACACAATGAGATAGCAATTTCAAGTCACTGCATACTTGATTAAAGTCCTAGCAGTTGTTCTTGCTATCACTTAGCAACCAAATAACTTAGAATATAAAAACCTACTGGTTTATTTACTTCAAGTGTTAGAAATCACATTTTACAATTAATATTTCCATTGACATCTGATTTCTTTTTTTTTCTTTCATTAATCCTCACCCAAGGATCTCTTTCCATCGATTTTTAGAGAGAGTGGAAGGGAGAGAGAAACATCGATGTGAAAGAGACACGTCAATTGGTTGCCTCCTGCACAACCCCAACTGAGGCCAGGGATAGAGCCTGCAGCCCAAGTATGTGCCCTTGACCAGGAATCAAACCCGCAACCCTTCAGTCCGTGGGCCAGTATTCTAACCACTGAACAAACTAGCCAGGGCAGCATCTGATTATTTAAAATATTTTTTTGTTTGGGGAATGACACCAGTGTTGCTGAAAGCCAGAAACCTTGAAACCTGGTTACCTATTGATGAAGACCTCATCCATTTGCTTCCTCACCCCTCTTGATTTTACCCAGTCTACTCTCTTCCCTGTCATCTTCTGAATGATTTCTCTATAACCTAAATCTCTAGAGAAAATTCAGAAGAGAATCAGAAAAATCCTGCTCTGCTTTTGTGGTCAAACTCAAATATTCATATATGAAACGTTCTTAGTTCCTTTCAAAAGGTGCTCCCTTTTATGTTCTGTTGCATCACATTCTGTTAGAGTGTTCTTTTAATTAAAAAAAATTATTACTGCCCTGGACCATTTGGTTCAGTGGTTAGAGCATTGGCTGCGGACCAGAGAGTCCCGGGTTTGGTTCCCACTGAGGTCATGTACCTCTGTTGCAGTTTGTGCCTGGCCCTGCTTGGGGTCCTGTGGATGGCAGCCACTCGGTGTGTCGCTCTCACATCGATGTTTCTTTCTCTTTCCCCCTCTCTGCCTCCCACTCTGATGCAAAAAAAAAAAAAAAAATTATTGATTTGTGAGAGAGAAGTCAGAGAGAAAACAATTCGTTGTTCCACTTATTATGCATTCAGTGGTTGATTCTTATATGTGCTCTGACTGGGGGTCAAACCCACAACCTTGCTCTATCAGGATAATGCTCTAAGCAACTGATCTACCCAGCTGAGGCGGTTAAAACTTTCTGAGAGGAGTGACCTTATAGCGTGAAACACCGCATCTGGTTTTTAGTTTGTTTAAAGAATGAAACATGAGGCAGACCTAGGAGACAGAGAGGATGCCCCCCCCCCCCAATATATCATGCCAGCGTTGGGAGGTAGAAATTTTTTTATTATTAAAAGATGGCTTTATTTCCAAAGAGCATTCATTCATTCTGTAAACCTTTATAGTGACAAGTCAGGCTCTTTGTGATTCTGGGATTTATTTTATTTTTCTCTCTTTTTAAAATTCATCTTTATTGTTGAATGTATTACAGATGTTCTCCCCCTTTTTCCCCCATTGACCCCCTCCTCCTCAATCCCACTCCCCTTTAGCCTACCCCACACTATTGTCAGTGTCCATTGGTTATGCATATATGCATAGAAGTTCTTTGATTTATCTCATCCTGCCCTCCCTCCCCCCTTCCCTTTGAGGTTCATCAGTCTAACAACCAATTTGTACTTCTTACTTCCTTCATCCTTTTCACCTACCCTCAGCCCCCACCCTTCTGGCAAGCAACAAAAAGTTCTCTGTATCGCCCTGGCCAGTTTGGCTCAGCGGTTAGAGCGTCGGCCTGCGGTCCAGAGAGACCCGGGTTCGGTTCCCGCTAAGGGCGCGTACCTCGGTTGCAGTTTGTCCCCGGCCCTGGTTGGTCGTGCGGGTGGCAGCTACTCGATGTGTCCCTTCACGTCGATGTTTCTCTCTCTCTCTGTTCCTCTCTCTCCCTCCCACTCTATCTGTACAAAAAATGGAAAAATATCCTCGGGTGAGGATGAAAAAAAAAAAAAAAGTTCTCTGTATCTATGAGTCTCTTTCTGTTTTGCCTGCTCATTTTGTTTGTAGATTCAATTGTTGATAGATATGTATTTATTGCCATTTTATTAATATTTTTGTTCTTCAAGAAAACCCTTCCACATTTCATATAATATTGTGGTGGTGATGAACTCCTTTAGTTTTTTCTTGTTTGGGAAACTCTTGATATGCCCATTGATTCTAAATTATAGCTTTGCAGAATAGAGTAATCTTGGTTGTAGGTTGTTGCTTTTCCTCACCTTGAATGTCTCTTGCCACTCCTTTTTGGCCTGCAAAGTTTCTTTTGAGAAATTAGCTGACAGTCCTATGGGAGCCCCTTTGTAGGTAACGAACTGCTTTTCTCTTACTGCTTTTAAGATTCTGTCTTTGTCTTTAACCTTTGGCATTTTGATGATGATGTGTCTTGGTGTGGACTTGTTTGGATTCATCTTGTTTGGGACTCTGTGCTTCCTGGACTAGTATGTCTGTTTCCTTCACCAAGTTAGGGAAGTGTTCTGTAATTATTGTTTCATATAGGTTTTCAATTTCTTGTTCTCTCTCTTCTTCCTCTGGCACCCCTGTGATGCGACTGTTGGCATGCTTAAAGTTGTCCCAGAGGCTCCTTACAGTATCCTCATTTTTTTGGATTAGTTTTTCTTTTTTGATGGCTTGCTTCTTGGCTTTACCTACTCTACTTTTGATTTCCTGTAAATCATTCTTTGTTTCAGTTAGTGTATCCTTCATTTCTGAGTGGTCCTTTTTTATGTTGTTGATGTTCTCACTAAGTTTCTTGGAATTCTCCTTAAGTTCCTTGAAGGTCTCACTGGTTTCCTTGAATGTCTCACCAAGTTCCTTGAAGCAACCTTTTAACCAGTGTTTTGAACTCTGCATCTGATTGATTGCTTATCTCCATTTTGTTTAGTTCTTCTACCAGAGTTCTGTTCTTTTCTTTCATTTGGGACATGTTTCTGTCTTCTTATTTTGGCTGCTTTCCTATGATTGTTTCTATTTATTAGGTAGAGTTGCTATGTCTCCTAGGCTTTGTAGGGTGGCCTGTTGTTGTAGGTGTCCTGTAGGATTCAGTGGCACAGCCTCTCTGATACTCCCAGCTCCGCCCTCGAGGTGCACCCCTAGTGTGGACTGTACAACCGTCAGTTGTAATTGAGTCTTGATTGCTGTTGGCACGTCAGTGGGAGGGATTTACTCAGGCTGATCAGCTGTAAGGACTGGCTGTGCCCACTGACCACTGGGCCCTGACTCTCTTGGAGGATCAACTGTGTAGGGACCCATGATACAGAGCAAGACTTACTTCATCAGGGCTCTGGTACCCACTGAGGCCACTCATTGAGTGTGTCACTTGTGGAGGTGGTTGGGTGGTGGTGTTTTGATGTGGTCTGAAGCCATTCACTGGGTGTGCTGGCTCTAGGGCAAGGTCAGCCGCTACCTGTGTTCTATCCAGGGCCACCCATCATAAGCTACAAAGTGATCTTCAGATGGCTGCTTCTTATGTTAGGCTTGGAGGTGCCCAAGAAAAGCCAAGTTGTGAGCCAAGACTGGTTGCTTCTAATGCCAAGCCTGGGGCCACTTAATGAGAGGTATGGGGCTCTCTGAAATCAGATGCTGCTTGTTTGAAATATTTAAGGAACTTCTGAAGCAGGAGCCAAGACAGGCCAATTCTATGGTAAAGCTTTGGAAGCAGCTTGGGTGGGTCTGAAAGGTGGGTGTGGCAGGACCTCAGGGAATCACCAGGGCAGGGCAGTGTGAGCCAGGTTGCTGGAGTTCCAGCCCCCCCAGGGAAGGGCTCACCAAAGGAACATCAGCCTCTGCCAGCATGTCTTTCCAAGAGAAAGCTGCCCCTCCAGCCCTTGTCCAGAGACCAAACAGCTCAGTTCTTCCCTGTATGTCTCTGGTGCCCCTCCAGCTGCCTCCCTTTCGAGCTTAGAGGGAGCAAGTCTGAGTAAATTGGTGTGCGGGCCATTTAAGAGGAACTTCCTGAGGTTCCATCAGCCTCAACTCCTCTCACTCTCAGTTCCCCCTGGTTTTTCCAGCCAGAAGTTATGGGGACTTCTCTTCCTGGCATTTGAACCCTGAGCTGGGTGCCTGGTGTGGGATAGGGACCCCTTACTCCTCAGGGAGGACCTTTTCAACCGAAGTGTCTCTCCTGGTTTTTATGTGCCACAGGTGGGTGTGAGACCAGTTGGTCTGTGCCTCTGCCCCTCCTACCAGTCTTAACGTGGCTGCTTCTTTAGATTCGTCGTTGTAGGACTTCCATTCAGCTCGATTTCAGGCAGTTCTGAATGATGGTTCTGTTGTAGTTTAATTGTAATTTTGATGTGGTTGTGGGAGGAAGTGATACCTTGTTTACCTACACAGCTATCATGACTGGAAGTCCTCTCCTCCTGTCCTTTTGATTCTGGGGATTTAAAGATAAAATTTAGTATTTGCCCTCAGGGTGCAGATAAAAAGGAAACACAGGTCATTAAATACAAAGGCTGCGAAGACAGTAATAATGTTAAATTGGTATTCTGGGAGTTTATAGGAGGATAACTTCATGAGGATATAAGATGTATTCAGGAAAGTACTTGCCTTTCACTCTCTGTATAGCATAGGGCTTTAAGGAAGATAATCCCTCTTTGTTCTACTTGCTCAGGCCATAAACCTTGGAGTCATTCTATTTTCCCCCTTCATATCCTATATCCAGTCCAATCCTGTTGGCTTTACCTTCAGAATAGATCTATAATCCAGTGGGTTTTTTTTTTT